CTTATTTTGTGAGGACTGCACTCCTTCAGTGCAGTCCAATCACTTGGCAGGAAGAAAATGAAACAACATCAAATAAAGTCATCAAGGTATGTCTTTTGGTAGATTGCGAAAATAGACCGCATATTTTTTGGGTACCTTTGTATTTCTTGTGGAACTGTGTATTTGGCATAGCTATATATATATAAATATATATATATATGCATACTCATAATATGCGTTTGCTGCCACAAACAATAATAGACCCAATAGATCCTGCGAACAATGGGGTTGGAAGACTACGTACTGTCTTCTGACATTTAGCGATTCTCAGGGTCAATATATATATATATTTGCTCGTTGGGGAGATGGTAGGTTATATGCTTTACTGTACATGACATATATACACACACACCAAACCTACATGGACCCGGCCCAAAGACCCTCATCTTGCAACGCCACATGACACCGCAACTGAGTTGCTGCGCCACAGCTTCTGCCCAGGAACACCTCAGCGGAATCGAACACATGGCAACAAACATCTGGCAACAAACTCAACCAACGGAGACGTCCCTAAAGTTCGGATCAAATAGTTGGAAAGTGGAACAGCACGGAATAGATTCGAGTAGAAATGGATGATCACTGAAAACGTACCCCTTGACAATGTTTGATTCAATGTTTGAGATTTGGAACAGGATTTTTTTTTTTCTCTCTCTCTCTCTCTCTCTGTCTTCAGCTTTTGAGGGGCGAGACGGAAACCATGAGGATTCTGAACGACCTGCTGGGTAGAGGATGGAACCCGAAGAAACTGAAATCTCTGATGATGAGCTTCATTCATAATCCAAGTTTATACTTCCAAAATGCTGCGAAACTGAGAGGCCTTGACTCTCTGCCCCCAATCAAAAACAAAGGTTCACCCAGCTGTCGTCCGAACATAGCTCAAGCCCCAGCACTTTTTGAGTCCCATCTTGTAGCGTCAGTGGCTACCCCCATGTCTCAAGGTGCTACTGCGAGACGTCACGGGCGAATCATCGTCGTCTCCCTTGCGGAGCGCACGACGAATCACAACATCCCATTCAGACTGCAGGGGGGTTTGCCATGGTCATAAACCACACATCTTTGATTCAATCATACCAGCTTGATGGAAAGGCTGCACAATGCCATTATATGCCATCATATGCAATTCCGCAATTCCTTTCAACACATATCTTGTAAGGTGTGAGAAAAAAACCGAAACCAGAAGAAAGTTATTGGGTGGTAGTTGAATCTATGAAATGAGGCTTCAGTCATCATTTGCTAACCAGAAAAGTTACCAACATCTATGTTTGGCCATGATGGCTGTATTGGTGACCATGGCAAAATTCTAGACACAGGGGGCAATCAGGCTGTGCACAAATGGTAGGCATATGCAGTCCACCTTTACAGTAATGTCAACCCCGGATTAATAACCCCCGAACGGTTGTTTCATTGGGGAGTACCATTTCAGTAGCATATTTATTACTACTTGGGGGGACCACCATAGTTGATCAACCAGGGTTTATTAATCCGGGGTTGGCATCATCAACCATGTCGATTACACATCCTTGAATTGGATAAACATATGCACTGCACCGCGTTTTGCAATGACGGATTTTGTTCTTGTTCACTGCTATGACAGTGAACCTGACATTACCCGGAAAGACACTTGTGTGGCATCAAACATTGCTCCACCAAACTGGAAAACATTAACCTGTGGTCAGGGGAAACCTACAAGTGCCTCATGTCATCACATGGGCACGCAATTTGTACACAACATTCCTGTCACACGCGACGCAAACCCAGATGGGCGGGCCCAAGCATGTGCGTTTGCACAAGTGGGCGCGGAGAATACGGAGAGCAACACTCTGCGAGGTTGCCGAAAACTTTGACATCGTCTGCATTAAGTGCAAGTCTGCCTTATGGATAAAATTGACCCTGTACATGCTTGTAGCTTTCTGACACACTGGACACCTAACTTGCCCAAAGCGGCACTAAGCCAAGGCAGCCATGACCTTTGGAAGCTCGGCGTGGACGGCAACGCTAGTGTCACGGTGTTTGTACACTTGCTGCTGCCCTTTGAAGACCAGAACACCTGCCGAGGGCCAAACAACCAACGTATACTCTCTGGCAATCAAACCTGGGAAAAGAACATCCACTCTCACTGGAGGTTTTAAAGGTAAAGTTCACTATAATCTATTATGAATTGAGGTTTCAATGGGAAACTAATCTATAAATGGGAGATTTTCTATTGACACGTTGGATTAGGGTAGCTGACATCTTGAAAACTTATCAAGTTGACTCTGGATCAACATTAATGTGCAAGCGTTGCAAAAGCGGTCCAGACCTGATCCATACAGTTTGGATCCATGTTCTGACCAGCCATGTAGCTGAGTATCGAAAAATATAGAGTATAGGGCCTATAGATGCCTATAGGGCCCATCTTAAACACAACTATAAAACGTTTTTGGTGGGTGCCCATGTCTGCCCAATATAGCATATAGTTAAAAAGTCGGTTCTGCCAGTAATGTACCAACTTTCCTGGTAGAGTCACTTATACCCGAAACTTGATTTTGATGGTTTATCTTATGTTCCCATGAATCCCTATTATATCTATTATATGTTTATGGTCCTATCTCATCACATTCCAACTTTATGCCCATATCATATGGCCCATATCCCATGATATTCCTATTGTAAAACATAATTTTGCTGGGTACATAGCCTCCTGTACACTGCAAACATAGACGTCGAAAATCACCATTTGTCTACAGCTAAATCGAATGGGCCATTCTCATGCATTTTCATCAATTAGTTTAACCATGTTTCACCCCAAAATACCCAATATAATCCCAGTGACATACTTGAACAATCCGAACCGCTCCTCCTTGGACCAAGGTTTTGTCCAAGGCGTTGTCGCCCTGCGGCATCAGCGGTTTGTAGATCTCCTTGGCCGTCTCCAAGTCGTCGTTGGTGAAGCTCGGCGGGCATGTAGGAGGTCCGTGGGCATGGGGAGGGTGGGAGGATTTTCGGAACTCATGACATGGTAAATCAACATGATTGAAACATATCCATACCCATCTATTCATATCTACTGTATAAACAAGACAATTGGAATGAGCTTTGTTGTCAACAATAAGAAATCGATGTTAGATGTAGTTGGCTGTGAGAAGAACTACTCAGAGAATAAACATAATACTAATTTATATATGTTAACAGTGATATGCATGACGAGACCAAAGTGGCAATGCGAAATCCACTATAAATGGAGGTTTTATGTGGGAACATCATAGATGATGGATTTTCCATTGCCATGCTTGATTACCGAATTGGTGGTATTGTAGTACTAACACAAGGCTGGGTGTGACATGTTTCCACTACGATTATGCATTTCAAATTGCAAGAACAACATCACAAATTTGAGGTGTTGCTTGCCAACAAACATATTGAAGCTGCATGCATGTAACTGTGTACGCGTATGATTACTGTATATACTATGTACATGAGCAAATATGCATCATTACAGGAAACAAAACACATATGCCAATCCAACAGTTGAACACCCCTGCCGGGCGACAGGAAAGGAAGGTCAAAGAGTCCGAAGAAACCTCAACAAACGGCTGGACAAATCCGTGGGGGATCCCTTATAACAACAACATTGCACTCATCACCCAAGTATTCTATGGCATGGTATTGTCTGGTTCTATTAACATAAGCGTCATACATGTTCATCAAGGTCAACATATATATATATATAATGTATATATATATATATATATATATATGTATATATATATATATGTATATATATATATGTATAGGTATATATGTATTATGACTTATGACTGACAACATGTGGCATTACCTATACGGGGTGTCCAAATTCAACAAAAAAACAAACAAAAATAAAGAAATAACATCTCCAATCCGCAAGCACCACACCCCTCCCGCCCCATTAAAAGCGTCAAAGCAGAAACTCACAGGTCGCCCATTGGCCCTGCTCTTCACCGCCTCCGCCGTGCGCTCCGTCATCATGCGCATGCCGCGCTTGCGGCCGTCCTGATGCTATAGCGACGACTATAGCGACTGATGCTTATAGCATGGTACGAAAACTGGTCAAACATCAAATTGGCAAGAGAAAACATCAAACATCATCAGGCTATAGCTACACTGATAAAAACTGAGCTGAATTCTGAACATCTAAACTCCGATCGTGCATGGGCATCAGCATCAGGATGAACACTGCCATTAACATCATGATCATCGTCATCTTTCTTTATTATTTTAGTTTTTCTTCAGCTTGTCTGCTCTTGCCAAGACCTTTGACTTTCCAGTGTAAACATAATTTTTGAAGTTTGCCCCTCTTTGGACAGGCTGTAACCGGGACACCTCATAAAACAAAAACATCCATATGAAAATGGTATTTTTCCAGCCGTCGCAGGCTCCTCGCTGAAGTCGGAGTTCACGAAGCGGAGGTTTTTGTAGGACTCGGCCTCCTCATCCCCGAAGACGATCTCAGCTGGCAAGCCCAGCTGCTCTGCAAACTCCTTGGCGCTCTCACCCGAGCCAATGCCTGGCGATGTGGGTGCTGGTCATGTGCAGGTGCTTGGGTGGTCATGATGATATAGTTTGAGGCCGTGTGTTGTTGAACCCATGGATTAAATTCAAAACAAATGTTCAAAACAAATAATCTACAAACCAATAATATTAAACTATAATAATTATGTAGTGTTTTCAAGTGGTTGTAGATGACCGTAAGACAATACCTTGGTGGATCCCACAAACTCTGAGAACGCAGTTTCTGCCATGCGGGTGTTTGGGTGGAAAGTAAAGCAAATCTCAGCCAAGTCTCCCACCACAAACAGCTTGACATTGGCCTTCTCAGTTTCCGGGAGCCAATCCCGTTTCAGTTGGATTCCCAGCTCCCAGCATGCCATTCAGCCGAAGTGGCGCAGAAATGCCACTACAACCTCCCAGAGTTGGCACGCCAACCCCACTCAAAGCCACCAGCTCCATGTGGTGGATTGAACAACATTGCTGGGGATTGAAGGTCATCTTTTACCTATAGATGCCTATAGCCTGCATAGATGAATAAATAAAACAATTGTCAAAATGAAGGGCAAACCATGGCAAGCCTCACCTTCTCGTTTTCGGACCACAAGCTGGTCAAGGCCACCTCTGCCCCATCCGAAGCACGGCGCAACGGCGTCTCCACCAACGCCTGGAAATCCTTGCTGCCCTCAGCCACCGCCACTGGCACTTCCTCGGTGGCCACAGCCTGGCGCGGCACGGGCCGGGTGAGCCCCGGCACAGGCCCAACGAAGGCGAAAACACCAAAGCTTAGCGCCAGGCCAGCGAGTAAAGAGGCGAAAAGCTTGGAGCGCCGCGTGGGTTTCGCCATGGTTCTGGAGCTGGAAAATGCTACGAGGCGGGAAAAGAGGTCAGGTCTGCCCACTTTAGCTGGCTTGGGGTAAGTAGGGATGGGCTGTAAAAACCATGCCAGCCAAATCAGTGATCATCCTATAGCAATTCTATCAGGGTTTTGCCCACGTTCAAGGGCAATGCAAAAACGAGATGCCAAGTCTGTTCGTACACCACAATGGCAACCTCAGCCGTGATCAGTTCATGTTCTCAACTTCAAGGCCAACGGATTCCCCGGTGACGGATTTAGAGGACTCGCCCCTAGGACCACGCCTTCAACTAACCCAGGAAGACAATAACATCATAAGATCGATGACATGCCAATACCAAAACCACAATTTTGAATGTATGTATGTATGTATGTATGCATGCATGTATGTATGTATGTGTATATATGTATGTATGTATGTATGTATGTATGTATATATGTATATATGTATGTATGTATGTGTGTATGTGTGTATGTATGTATGTATGTATGTGTGTATGTGTGTATGTGTGTATGTGTGTATGTGTGTATGTGTGTATGTATGCATGCATGCATGTATGTATGTATGTATGTATGTGTGTATATGTATATGTATATGTGTATGTGTATGTGTGTGTATGTGTATGTATGTATATGTATGTATGTATGTATATGTATGAATATGTATGTGTATGTGTATGTGTATGTATATATATATATGTATGTTTATGTATGTATGTATATGTATGTATGTTTGTTTGTTTGTATGTATGCATTTATATGTATGTATATGTATGTATATGTATGTATATGTATGTATATGTATGTATATGTATGTATATGTATGTATATGTATGTATATGTATAAATGTATGTATGTATGTACGAATGCATGTATATGTATGTTTATGTATGTATGTATATGTATGTATGTTTGTTTGTTTGTTTGTATGTATGCATTTATATGTATGCATATGTATTTAGATGTATGTATGTGTATGTATATGTATGTGTATGTATGTATATGTATGAGTATGTATGTATATGTGTGTATGTATATGTATGTATGTATGTATGAATGTATGTATGTATGTATGTATATGTATGTATGTTTGTTTGTTTGTTTGTATGTATGCATTTATATGTATGCATATGTATTTAGATGTATGTATGTGTATGTATATGTATGTGTATGTATGTATATGTATGAGTATGTATGTATATGTATGTATGTATATGTATGTATATGTATGTATGTATATGTATGTATGTATGTATGTATATGTATGAATATGTATGTGTATGTGTATGTGTATGTATCTGTATAATGTAACTTTATTTGTGTATGTATGTGTATGTATGTGTATGTATGTGTATGTATGTGTATGTATGTGTATGTATGTGTATTTATGTGTATGTATGTGTATGTATGTATGTATGTGTATGTATGTGTATGTATGTGCATGTATGTGCATGCATGCATGCATGCATGCATGTATGTATGTATATATGTATGTATATGTAGATGTATATGTAAGTGTAAATGTATATGTGTATGTATGTATGTATGTGTGTATGTATGTATGTGTGTGTATGTATGTATGTCTGTATGTATGTATGTATGTCTGTATGTATGTGTATGTATGTATATGTAAATGTAAATGTATATGTAAATGTATATGTATCTGTATAATGTATATTTATTCGTATATGTATATGTATGTATGTGTATGTATGTGTATGTATGTGTATGTATGTGTATGTATGTGTATGTATGTGTATGTATGTGCATGTATGTGCATGTATGTGCATGTATGCGGATGTACGTGCATGTATGTGCATGTATGTGCATGTATGTGCATGTATGTGGATGTATGTGTATGTATGTGTTTGTATGTGTATGCGTCTGTGTGTGTATGTGCATGTATGTGTGTGTGTGTATGTGTGTGTGTATGTATGTATGTCTGTATGTATGTATGTATGTCTGTATGTATGTGTATGTATGTATATGTAAATGTAAATGTATATGTAAATGTATATGTATCTGTATAATGTATATTTATTCGTATATGTATATGTATGTATGTGTATGTATGTGTATGTATGTGTATGTATGTGTATGTATGTGTATGTATGTGTATGTATGTGTATGTATGTGTATGTATGTGTCTGTATGTGTATGTATGTGTATGTATGTGCATGTATTTGCATGTATGTGCATGTATGCGGATGTACGTGCATGTATGTGCATGTATGTGCATGTATGTGCATGTATGTGGATGTATGTGTATGTATGTGTTTGTATGTGTATGCGTCTGTGTGTGTATGTGCATGTATGTGTGTGTGTATGTGTGTGTATGTGTGTGTATGTTCAATTGTTAGGCTTGGGTACCCCATCAAAGGGTATCTCATCAGCCATGGCTGGCCAGAATGAAAAATTATAAATCATATAAAAAATATGATTGAAATATCAAAAAATATCAAAAAATTGAAACAATTTATTCAACATTAAAACAAATTAAAACAAATAAAAACAAATTACTCCGTGCCCCTCACTTTTTTTTCTGTGCTAGGTTCTGCTGTACTTAGTCTTAGGTGGCAAGTCTGAAACAAACTAGAACATTGTTTGCAATGAACCCTGCTTGCTGCACCTCTGCTTCTTTCAGTCTATATTCTACTTTGTTTGACATTGAACCCTGCCAAAATGATGATGGAACTATTAAGATAGAATCTTTGTAATGATGATGCATATTAAATACAAGTTGTTTTAACACTTAATCACATCTGGGGTTGAGGGTTGCTCTTATATTAGGGATTGCTGGCAAGGGCCACTTTTATTACAATTACAGTTGCCCCAGTTGGTGCTTACAAACTGTGAACAATTGTGTACAGGACCCAGTGATTTCTCCACGGTGGTTGACTCCGAAGCAAACTCCACTCTACGTGTGATTGCCCCCAGGAGCACATCCTGGCACACCAAGAGGGGAAGCCCCTCCAGGGTTGCGGAACAAATTACAAAAACAAAAGTATACATTAAAAAAAATCAAAAAATGCGAAAAATTAGAAAACATTGAAAAAATTAGACAAAAATAAAACAAATAAAAAAATACAAAAAATAAAAAAACAAATGCAAAAAAATACAAAATTTGGCACCTCCTGCGCCAAATTTTAGTATTCGATTTAGTCTGTGTAGACTAATTTTAGTATTGCTGCAATGTCCTTCTTTTTTTGGCAGACTTTATCAAAAAAAAATACAATATATTGAAACATTTTTTTGAGGAGAATTGCGTCTAAATACAAATAAAAAGTGCCAAGTGCTTACAATATAGCTGCAAGTAAATATAGCACATGCTTAAACAAGACAAGTACAGTGCGTCACAACCAATTACTTGATAATAGTGTATTTCAATACATAGTCAATCTTTTGATACTCTTATTACATTGGCCAGAAAGACAGTGCAGTACTATGTCACATCAGAATGTATGAGAAGGGGAGGTCGAGGTGGGGCCACAATGGCTACCAGGGCCACAGCATATGTCACATCATGTTTAACAGGTATGAAACATGATTATCATTGAAATTTAAGCTAATGAAATCTAATGTTCCAAAATGATTTATAATTTGTTTTAATTTGTTTCCAAGCTGATGAGAACCCCTCTGATGAGACTCCTTGTTCTCACAGACGATATGTGTGTGTATGTATGTGTATGTATGTGTATGTATGTGTGTGTGTATGTGTATGTATGTGTATGTATGTGTATGTATGTGTATGTATGTGTATGTATGTGTATGTATTTGTATGTATTTGTATGTATATATGTGTGTGTATGTATGTATGTATGTATGAATGTATGTATGTATGTATGTATGTATGTACACGTATGTACACGTATGTACACGTACTAGTATGTACACGTATGTACACGTATGTATACGTATGTATACGTATATATACGTATATATACGTATGTATAAGTATGTATGTATATATGCGTATGTATACATGCATGCATGCATGCATGCATGCATGCATGTATGTACCTATGCGTGTACACAAATATATATATACATATTGATTATCTACATGTATATATATATTCAAACCATAATTGAACACAATATACATATATACAGCAATAATGTATACGTGTATATATATATATAATGTAAATTTTAAAATGTATATACACACATACTGCATGTTACACCAAACAACAATGGCATATGTGCATGTGTTGGGCATCTCGATCTTCCCATCGACGGCCGCCAGGGCACATCTCTCATTTTGAGGCGATGTAGCAAGGCGTCTTGGACCTGCGCTCCCATCAAAACAACATACATGGAAACAAGTACAAGGTCAGGCCCCCCTAGATAGCTTAGTTGACTTATAACTTGATTAACCATAGAGTTGATGGTATTTATGTATATGTATGTATATATATATATTTAAATATGTCTCTCCAAATATATATATATATATATATATATACAAATGTTTTTATAACTATAGTTAATTGATACTGGATTTATAACTTTATAACCCAGCTTGGCTATCCACGCAGCCCCACTTTGCAGGAAAGATCAGGGGAGAATGAACAACCAGGAAACTTGGATTTGCT